GGCCATGCGCCTAAGCCTAAAACTCTCACCACTGACTTAGGAAAACTTCCTTCATCTCCCATCTCCACCACAGGCATATCCACACATGATCCAAATAATTTTCCATCTGAACCCAGTGTGGGAAAGTGCAACTCAGACCTCTATTTCTTGTGAGAGATTTTTGAACTAAATGATTGTTCTGATGTTGCTATGATTTTACTTTTTTTCTTTGCCTCCAAATGAATCCCTGACCATAGCATACACTTGGGCATTTGCTCCATGGATGTCACTGTGAACCAGCCCCAAGTTCCCAGGCGAGCTGGCATATGGTGGGGAGAGCCCTCAGCGCAGCGTGAGCAACCTCCCTCTGCTGCAGCACCAACCCAGCAAGGGGCAGGAAGCCAAGGAAGTGTCCCACCAAACCTCTCATCACCCCTACTATCCACGAGAGCTGCAGAGGCCTCTGAGAGCCTGAGTGCTCCATCTCATCCAGCCAGTTAATGAACTGGTCTCCCTGGGGCTCTCTCTGGGGTTACACCCAGAAATTTATAACTGGCTGCAGCCTCTGTCACGCACACCAGCCTTGCCCAGTCTCCGGTGCCTTCTGCTCACTTCTTTCTGATGTTCTCTTGCAGAAGATCAGCAATGGGATTCCCCTTCCTCCTGCCCAGGTGCCTCCCAGCCGACTCCATGCAAAGCAGAAGCCAGGTAGTCCCCCGGGCCAGGGACCTCAATGGGTGTTATGCGAAGCTGTGCCCCACTGCCCCGCTCTAGGGTTGCATGGGGAGGCTGGTTGTCCAACTGCAGCCGTGGCTGCCTGTGTGCTAGTGGGTTGCAGAAGAGCTGCCGGGGGCCTCTGCTGACTGCAGGCGCTGTTCCTCTGCTCTTGTTTTGTTCTGCAGAATCCCCTGGGGAAGAAGATGCCTCTGCAAATGATGCTGGTGCCCAAATGGACTTCAAGGTAAAGTGTTTCACAAGCTGAAGCTGGCACAGCCTCAAGATATCAAGGCTGTGAAAAGTGCAAGATTCCTGGCCAGATACTCCAAAATTCCTGAGCTGCCCCAAAACCACTGAAAAAACCCTCTTCCTCTGCCCATTTTTCCATTTCAGAGAGGCTCCTGTGTGGTCCTTCCTCCACCACTCCCAAGTTTGTGACCATTTTGTGAGGCAGCCCAAGGTTGAGGTTTACCAGGGCAGTGCCCTTTTGCACCCTCCAAGGAGCCAAGAGCCCCAGACACAGCAGTGTTCAGGCACACACTTTACAGCCCGTTTTGCAAGAGAGAACTGTCTTTGAACTACCTGCTGTCCCTTTCCCCCTCCTCCTGTGTGGCATTTTCTGTCCCTGTCAGTCTGGGTACCACAGTTCATTCATATTTGTGTTCCAGGATGATGTCCTTTGATGCACCTCCCTGTCATTACCAGCCACTCTGTGTGATGGAGCTGGAATCATTCCTGTGTCCACTTGGGGACAGCACCTGGCAGTGCCAGCTGCAGATCAGCTCTGGTCCCTTTGTCTTTGCCACCACTCTTTGTCGGGCTTTTGGAGTAATTTTTTGTCAGCTGCACTTCAGACAGAAGGCAGCAAAACATGGGGACTTGGCTGCACGTCTCCAGCTGCCTGGGGGAATTGGGGCCCCGTTAATATACGTTTGGGTTTGGGAGGTACCTGTGTGATTGGACCCAGAAACAGGCTTCCTGGGTCATGGGAGGGATGTTGGATCCCAGGCTTTGAATTTGCAGTTCCCCCTCTGAAATTTAGATCTGCATTTTGGTGCTGCACTACCATTACAGGGTACCACTGACATGAGGGGTTGTGTCTTGTGTCGGCTCTCTTGATACGAGACTCCTGAATAACCAGACTGTTTATGGTGCCACGTCTCTCAGCAGATCTCACCAACCCAAGGAGAAGCTTCATCCAGCATGGACAGACCTGTCATGCTGAGAGTGTGTTGTGAGTGCACCGTGGTGGTGAGGGCGGGCGAGGTGCCATCTCTGCCAGACCTGCGGGCTCTGCTGAGGGAGCGGTTTGGCCAGCAGGCAGAGCGAGGGAAGCTGAGGTACGCTGTGGCACAGCCGGGCCCTCTGGTGCTCTCAGTGCACATGTGTGTGACCGGGCAGCAGCAGCCATTCCCCTGAGGATACAGGCATCCGACTGCGTCTGGTCTCCTGGGAGCACTTAACTGGGGTCAAAGCATTCTAGCAGAGGTTCACCAAAGATGTGAGCACACAGCCTTCCTTGCAGGGCTAACCTTGCCATGGCTTTTGGTTTTGAGAACAGTGTATGGGCGTGGGCTTTGGAGGTCCAAAGGCTCTTTCCCAGGAAACTGTACCATGATCAGGAAATGGGGGCACAGAAGAAAAAACTCTGTGCAGGTGCAGCTGCTGTATATTGGATTTTCTCCCGCTCAGCCTTTGAGATACGCTAGGATCAATGCAGAGCAATTGGTTGGTCCTGGGGTGAGGTCTCTCTGACTGTGACATCCCTGGGGGCACACACTGTAGTCAGGAGAGTTTAGGATCTTCCCCTCAAGTAAGTGTGTGAGGAGGTGACAGTGTCCCTCCCTGACAGTGCTGTTTCTGCCCACTGAGCATGCAGGTTGGCCCCATGTCATTGTGCATGGTGACAAGCTCAGAGCTGGCTTAAAAAGGGGACTTTGAAGACTGAAGATGGTAGAGGGCTAGGTTTGCCTCCAAGTTTGGCTTTAAGTGAGATGATTTGAGCTGTGTTAACGAACCGTTGCAGCTACAGGCATTCGGATGGCAAAGAACTGGGTGCAGTTTCGGGAGAGGAGGATCTAGGGAAGATGTGGCAGCAGCTGACAGATGGCAGGCTGACACTCTGCTGCCAGGTACGTGGGCTGTGACAAGGTTCTCTGCTGTGCAGGACTCTAATCTAGTCTCTGCTTTGCCTTGCAACCTCCATGCTGACTTTCCCCTGTAGGACTCGGACTCCCACTCAGGCAGACCCATCCTCTACCGGATGCTGGCTCAGCACTCTTACTTTGCGCAGGGACCGGGGGACCTGGAGTTCAGCAAGGGAGATGTGCTGGATATTCTCTCTGAAGGTAGCTCTCCAGCCCTGTCTGCAGGCTTGTACTGGGCCAGGCTTTTGGAGTCTGCTGCAGGGAGGGACTGGGGAGTAGGTGGTCTCTCCAGTGCTGTCTCAGGCTCATACTCTCAGGAGGTACAGGCTTGCACTGGGTTTTGCCCAGAGTTAAATTCCAGCCATGAAAAATCTTTCTAACCCCACTCAAATGGGCCAGGGCTCATCCTGCTCCTTTATGTTTTCCCAGTGAACGAGGACTGGCTCGAAGGACGCTGCAATGGCAAGACTGGCATCTTCCCCAAATGCTTTGCAACCCAGACCAGTTGTGGTGCTGCCTTCCTATAGTGAACAGGAGCCTTTTCCTGCCTGACTCTGCTGTCTCCCAGGGATAGGAGACACCACTCCCAGCTCATTTGGGCCACAGCCAGCACAGC